GCTGAAGTCGGACGCCTAACTGACTGTGCCACCCAGGCGCCCCTCCGCCTCTTTCTTTATACTGTTTCCTTTATACTGTTTTGTTTCTTTATACCACCCATTTGTACTATTCTCTGTGGCTATGAAACAGATGATTACAACCTCAGTTCTTTTTTTTTTTTTTAACACTTATTTTTTAGAGACAGAGACAGAGCATGAGCAGGGGAGGGGCAGAGCGAGAGAGGGAGACACAGAATCCGAAGCAGGCTCCAGGCTCCGAGCCGTCAGCAGAGAGCCCGATGTGGGGCTCGAACCCACAAACCGTGAGATCATGACCTGAGCTGAAGTCGGACGCTCAACCGACTGAGCCACCCAGGCGCCCCTACAACCTCAGTTCTTAAAGCAACACCCATTTTACGAGCCCATGGTTCTGGGGGTCAGAAGTCTGGGTCGGTGTGGCTGGATTCCCTGCCGAGAGTCTTGAAAGACTGACATCAAGGTGTTGGCTGGGCCGAGTTCCCGAGTTCCCGACTGGCAGCTTAGGGGAAAAATCTGCTTCCAAGCCCATTCTTGTTGTTGGCTTTCGTCAGCTCCTTGGGGGTGGGGGACCGAGGCCCCGTTTCCTTGCTGGCTGTCAGATGGCCGTTCTCTGCACCTAGAGGCCGCCCACATTCCTTTCCACGGGGCCCGCTTCATCTTCAAGCTCCAAAATAGCACTTGTGTGCTGAGTCCCCCTCCTGCTTCAAATCTATGATGTCCTTTTCTGTGACTGGTTGGAGAAAGCCTGCTTTTTAAAGGGCTGGTATGATGAGGTCAGGCCCACCCCAATAATTTCCGTCTTTTAAGGTCACCTGGGCCTCATCACAAGCTCTGCTCCCACTCTAGGGCGCAGAAGCCTTGGAGGACATCTCAGATTTCTGCAGTGAAAATGTTTAATTTTAATTTTTTATGTTTATTTATTTTGAGAGAGAGAGAGAGCGAGAGCGAGAGAGAGCGAGAGAGTGCACGCACACGAGCAGAGGAGGGGCAGAGAGGGAGGGAGACAGAGGCTCCGTAGCAGGCTCTATACTGACAGCAGAGAGCCTGACTCAGGGCTCAAACTCGTGAACCGTGAGATCGTGACCTGAGCCGAAGTCAGACAGTTGCCAGACTGAGCCACCCAGGGGCCCCATGACTGTGTATTTAATTTCTAGAAGTTTCATCTGGCTTTTTCCAATTTCCCTTTATTTTTTGGACTTGCCTTATTATGGATGC